ACGGGTCAAAAAAGAAGGGTTGCGGGGGATCAGAAAAGAAGGATTGCGGGGCTCAGAAAAAAAGGCTTGTGGGTCAGAAAAAAAGGATTGTCACGGAATGCTGGGGAGTCAAAAAAAAAAGGTTGTGGGTCAGAAAAGAAGAGTTGTGGATCAGAAAAGAAGGGTTGTGGGTCAGAAAAGAAGGGTTGTGGGTCAGAAAAGAAGGGTCGTAAATCAGAAAAGAAGGGTCGTGGGTCAGAAAAGAAGAGTTATGGGTCAGAAAAGAAGGGTTGTGGGTCAGAAAAAAAGGGGGGGTCAGAAAAAAAGGGTGCGCGGGTCAAAAAAAAGGAGCCCTACCAAATAATATGCCAAAAAACCACAATCACAAAAGATACAACTACAAAAACAACCACAAACACACAACCACAAAAACACAACCACAAACACACAACCACAACACACAAACACAAACACAACCACAAACACACAACCACAAACACGCAACCACAACAACACGACCACAAAGACACAACCACAAACGCACAACCACAAACACAAGCACAAACACGCAAATACAAACACATAACCACAAGCACACAGCCACAAACACAACCACAAACCCACAACCACAAAAACACAACCACAAACACACAACCACAACACACAAACACAAACACAACCACAAACACACAACCACAAACACACAACCACAAAGACACAACTACAAATACAACCACAAAAACACAACCACAAACACACAACCACAACACACAAACACAAACACAACCACAAACACACAACCACAACAACACGACGACTCAGACACAACCACAAACGTACAGCCACAAACACAAGCACAAACACACAAACACAAACACATAACCACAAGCACACAGCCACAAACACAACCACAAACACGCAACCACAACCACAAACACAACAACAAATACAACCACAAACATAACAACAAACACACACCCACAAAGACACAACAATAGACACACAACCACAACAACACAACGACAAACACACAACCACAAACACACAACCACAACAACACAACCACAAAGACACAACCACAGACACACAACCACAAACACAACCAGAAACACACAATTACAAAAACACAATCACAAGCACAATCACAACCACAACCACAATCACAAACACAACCACAGCACACAACCACAGCACACAACCACACACACAACCACAAACATGACAACAAACACACAACCACAAAGACACAACAATAAACACACAACCACAAACACAACCACAAACACATCCACAAACACACAGCCACAAACACATCCACAAACACACAACCACAAACACACAACCACAAACACAACCACAAACACACAACCACAACACACAAACACAACCACAAACACACAACCACAAACACACAACAACACGACCACAAAGACACAACCACAAACGTACAGCCACAAGCACAACCGCAAACACATCCACAAACACACAATCACAAACACACACCACAAACACGCAATCACAAACACAACCGCAACCACAACACGGCACACAACCACAACCACAACACACAACCGCAGCACACAACCCGAGGACCCACAAGCAAAATCGAGAACTACAATACTCACGACCATGGAAACATGCTCCTCAGTATGGCATCAAGTCAAATGATTGAAATGTCATTGTGGGGATCACTCGAAGTAAAGAAATTTTAATTTATTATTCCGAAGAATATCAAATTCAATAATTTCATTGTTATTCATAAAAAGAACATATTTATTGTTGTTTTCAATTTTAATATATATATTTAGAGTGTATAAATATTGTATTAATTATAATTCAATTCAAATATATAATTCAAATATTGTATAATCAAATATTTATGTTTTAATTAAAATATAATATATACACATATTTATATAAAGTTTCAAGAAAATACATATACCATTTTTGATATTTATATTTCCAATTTATGTTATATATATATTCATAATGTATAATATCAAATATTTTGTCAAGAAAAAAATATATTTCAAAACCATTTTCTATAGATTTACATATTTATTTCTATTCCAATTAATTAATATCTATATATTTAGACATATTCCTATTAAAATAATGTTCTTATATTAATTTCATTGTTCAGAAAATATAATCAAATAAATATATATTTAAATATAATATATAAATAAACATAGATGAATTGTATAATCATATTTCCATAAATATATATATAATTTTTAAAATGTAGTAGCACTTTATTTATAAATTTATAGATTCACCCGAATGTGATTTAATCTACCCAAATAATAAACATTTGCTTCAACAACCTGGAATTTGATTAGCTTTATCTTAGGACCACGATCCTCCTTCATGAGTATCAGGGTCCCGAAAGCGATTCATCACAGGGGAGAGGTGCCCTCGTCAAAATACCGTTGAAACCCTCATCTAGCAGGCTTTTTTGTGGCTATTCTTGCCGATCATGTTCTTGATTTTCTCAAGGCATCATTTTGTAGACTCAAAAATTGGTTTATAAAAAATTATATAAACACATTGTTTACAAAATGTTTCTTCTTCAACATATAGCCCCAATATCTCTATAACATGATTTAAACAATCTCTACAAAACGCTCTTCAAACTTGAATCATGCAATTGTAACCCAAAAATCTCTATTTAAAATAGATTTTTCTGACAAAATGACACGTTGAATTCGAAAAATACATCCATATGGTAACATATTATACGGTAACACATGGGAGTGAACCACCTAAGCACGTTGGAGCACACCCGTGGGAAAGACGGGCTGGCAAGTAACTAAATTTGCTGGGCCTTAACGTCACTTTTGTATCTACAAAATGCCTGGTATGGGTTGAGGAGCATCCTTTACAAATCACGTGGAAAATAAACAGAAAAGGAAATTATATAATATATATATATATGTGGGAATGTGTTTTCCAATGTTCTCGAAAACGCTTGTTTTAGGATTTTGCATGTTGAAGGTGTTCAAACGTTGAGGACGAGACCTCGTAATTGTTGGTAGGTGTTCGTTATCTGCTCGTGGATAGTAGTCTTCCTAGTTCACCGGATTTTGTTGGGGTGTTCGGCCAAAAAACAAATGGTTTTGATTTTTTTGTAGCATTTTTTTCGCCAACCCCCCCGAGATACTACCTGTGGGGCATCAAGCTCCCACAAGTCACAGGGTGAATGGCATGAAGCTCCAGGGTGAATGGCATTACCATCACCATTGCCACAGGTCAAGGGCGAATGGCCATTACCAGTACTATGGCCCAGTAGCATTAGCAATACCATTGCTATTAGCACAAGCATTCGCATTACCATTGGCGTGCTCAATACTATTAGCATTGTCATTAGCATCTTACCCGCACAGGTCAAAGGGTGAATGGCATTACCATCACACTTGTCATTAGCATAACCATTACTACAGGTCACAGAGTGTGTGAGGTCACAGGGTGATTGGCATCGAGGTCCCACAGCTCACTGGGTGAATGGCATTATCATCACCATTGCCATTTGCATTGCCATTGTCGCAGGAATTGGCTGCCACAGGTCACAAAGTACATACCTCCGACAGGTCACAGGGTGAATGACATTCCATAACCATTGTCATGACCATTATCATTGCCACACGGCAAGGGTGAATGGCCATTACCGGTGCCATTAGCATTCCCAGTGACGTCAGCATTAGCATCAAGCCCCCCAGGTCACAGGGTTAATGGCATTACCATTTTCATTACCACAGATCACAGGGTGCATGGCATCAAGCTCGCACAGGTCGGTGAATGGCATTACCACCACCATCGCCATTAGCATTGTCATCACCATCTGCATTACCATTGCCAAAGGTCAAGGGTGAATGGCATCAACCTACCACAGGTCAAAGGTGAATGGTTGTAACAAAAGAAGGCTCCAAATTTCTGTGGGACACATCCAGGACAGATTACAATACCATACCCAATGCTAGACCTATTGCAACTTGAAGCAGTCCAAAAACAGCAAAAACACAACAAAACACTGGAAAATACACACCCGCATAGCTTCCCGCTCTCAAGGCAAAAGGGGGTGCCATGTTGTAGGGCCAAAAAATAGTGCTCTACAAAATGATAGCTTTATAGTGGCCTCAAGGTACACCATTTTAGAAGGACAATTTTGACGGGAATTCAACGCTACGTTTTGATCTCCCGCCAGCAAACGGTAAGACCCCAGCTTTTCTGGATTTACAATCATTTCCTGACCGCAAGGCAAAACACAAAGTGGCGAGGCGGAAGTAGGCATCTCACTTGGTTTCCACTGCCTCATCGTGCTTGTGCATCCACCTCGTGGACGGTGTTCTGGCAGTGTAATTCCCGGCGTTCCACGAGACACATATGGCACACTCCACGGCCTCAAGGAGGCCATGTGTAGTCGCAGCGGATGGGAAAGCCACCTTCATTGGAGACGCGTGGACAAGCTCACCTTACTCCTTACTACTCTCAGGGCGGATGTCCAAGTGCCTTTCGCCGACCTTCCTTGCGTCCCTCCCGCTGGCATCGCCCTAAATGAGAATCGTAAAGCGTTACAGTGCCGCACTGCCTTGAATTCACCGCACGGCACAACCGTAGACCTATCTCCACCAAGCAACTGATGTTTTGAAATGAGCAGCCCATGGCAAAGGTAGCTCCTTCTTGAGGGGGCTCTTCTTTTCTGCCTCCTCCTCCTCCTTCTCACACCAGCTCATCTCACACCACCTCAACTCACCAACTCTCGTTTCACACCAACTCAACTCGCACCAAATCATTGTCACTCACTCACTCACCCACGCACTCAGTCACAAACTCAAAAAGCTTCATCCATTATCGGGTGATCCGGTCCATACAACATTGATGATGTTGTCTCTAAACCGTTGGTATTGGTTTTAGGTTGCTCTGTTCAGTTCTATAGTTATAACATCTCAATATATCAAACAAAATGCCCAACACACATTTTGCAAAATAAGTAAATATATCTATATAGTTAACATATAATGTTAATATCTTATCGGATTCGTTTCATCGATCAAACATGCTCGATAAGATCCATCCTTCTTCCAACCGAGATGTCCTCCACGGAGCAAATCGGAGGGGCAACCCAATTCGCGTGAGCTGCGTTTCTTTTGAACATGACAGGTTGCTTCAATTAGATTGACAGGTTGCAAACGGCAACCCGACAGCAACTCCCATCTCTTTACCCCGACATCACGGTGCAACTCGTGTAGCTCCGAGTGCTGACCAGCTCGCGCCGTCCTCGAGGACCTCCGTCCGTCTGCAGGCAGGGGCCGGAGCCACACGCCGGAGCCAAGCCTTCTCTGCGAGAGAAGGGTCGCTGAGAACTGTCTGTGGGAGGCCCCATGGGGTCGCTAGTAGCTTCTTGTTACTAGTAGCGATGCCCGGAGTCCGTTCGTAGCGTCCGATCGCTCCTAGTAGTAAGGCCAGGAGCCCCGATCGTGGCTTCTTGTTCCTATAGTAAGATCTAAAAATCCATAAAAATCCCTTTCAGAGGACCCGAACCCCAAAATCGGGACATATCGAGCCTTTCAACGAGTTCGCCCAACAACAGGAGAGTTTGATAGGCTTGACCCACCCACCGTGATCACGTCGTTAGAGCTTCGCTGGTAAGCTTCCGCTGGTGTTCTTCGTAACGGGTCTCTTTGGTCCGGAAAGGGGGGTCCTGCGCGACCTGACACGGGCCCACGACCAGAAACGTGGCAAATGAATGCAAATGCCCCGAAGCTAGCCAATTCGATGGCAACAAACACCCTTTTCCCCGCACCGCTCGAGCGAATGCCACGGTGATGAACCAAAGATCTCAAAAAGAGATGCGACTCCGACGAGCTATGAAAGAGTGAAACGGCCACGGAATGAAAGCATGCTGAACCCCAAAAAAGCATCACACCAGTGCAACTAGTGCAAACTGTTGAAAAGACGCACTCTATCAACTTGAAACCAGCATGCATTGCTGCACGGCCTTCCCCAGGTTGATGTCCCCCTTTCGGCTACCAACGATTGAATTTTGCATTGCGAAAGGCATCCATGGCTGTGGATCGCTGGGCCTTTGGGAAGAAGGAGGTGCCGGATCTCGCCGGAGCAACCACTTTGGGTCGTTCCATACACAGCCAGCTTGGATCACAATACTCGTTGCACAAATGATGTGCAAAGAAATTCCTCGGACAGTCCGGACAAGGAAGGATTTTCATGGATTTTCTACTATTTCCGGATGGGTTTCAACCAAGACGGGATAGTTCTGCAACAAACAGCTGCTCAAACGGCTGCCCAAGGCTCTTCATCATCCGCTTCCCACCATCTGTAGCACCAAATTCCTGCTTAAGGGACAGCACGGCCGGATCGGTGAGAATATAGTGCGTGTCGTATCCGCCCCCTTGCAAGTCACAAAGGAGGTGCTGACCTTGCGGCCGGGTGGATGACCGCCAACAGCAGGTTGACACCGTGAGACGTAAAAGAAAAACGAGCACAAAAACACCTACAGAGCTCAAGTGCTGAGAGGTGGCCGTTTGAAACATGAAATGAGAAATGCGACAAAGCCTGCATCATATTGTAGCCTTCATTGACCCATCCACTGTTTGAATTGAACTTTGCATAGGTGCCATCGATGAAGGGTTCCACTAAAATCGGCCGGCCGTTCAACGACCAAACCTCAGGTTGGTTGAGGTAGACTCGGCGTCTGGCGGATGATCCGATGCACTGATCATTGTACTCGTTGAAGGCTTTGATGATGCGACCTGCTTCCTCCACAGCCTTCAAATCTTCTTGGATCAGAACCTCTGCCTTTTGGTCCTTGAAGACTTTGTAGACGCCTTTCATATTCTTTCGTGGGCCTTTGGTATAAGTCACCATGTAGACATCGCGAAACGTCCCACTTTCCAGGTAGGCGCCCTTTGAAAGTGCCGGGGCTCCACGAGTCAACCAACCCCGGTCATTGGCCTCGAACACCTCTTCAAGCCTTTTCTGAAGCTCTGCCTTCGTCCCGGAAACTTTGCGTTTCATCTTACGCAGTTCTTCTCTCATTTCCTCGTGCGCACAACGGCGGCTGGCAGGTGAGGCAAGGGAAAGAGTGTTGCAAACGGACCAGTGACATGGATTAGGCGGACTATTGCCATGTTGGCGCTCGAGGATTACAAGAACTAACATCTGGCATTGGACACAGGCAGGCTGATACATGCCAAAACTTCACGGATGAGCAGTAACACGTAAGATTCTTGCCTATCACTTCGATCTTTTTCACTGTAGGACCTGTATAAGTAGTTTCTCCTGCTGACCTCAGCCAAGACTCTGTACCAGTCATGTGTTCAACCCGCTTGCGCTTGGCAGGCGACTGGCGAGCTGCCGCCAGCTTGCCCCAACCAGCGCAGCCACTGCATTTCCTGAGTAGCTTGGTTTTACTACGGCCTCTCTCTTAGAAAACGCAGGTGAAGGCTACATGTGCGGCAAGTCAGAGATCTAAACTCTCAGAATATCGCACTTTTGGATCCTACAATCATGAAAACTAAAACGCTCAAAGGAGTTCACCGGTTGAATTCAAGAATCTCCTGCACTTGCTGAGGCAACCATCCATGCTGAAGCACCACTTTCATGTGGGAGCCCTTCCCTTGGCCTTGCTGTGAGGCTCCGTTCAAGTCCTGTCGGTCCACTACATGTTCAATTACTATAGCACATGGAAGACAATGGACATGACACCGCGTCTTGGACCCCTTAGTGGGTCAACCTGTTTGGAACGTCTGGAAAATTGGGTAGACCATGGTAGACCTATACCCGACTGAACCACACCATGCGGATTTGGGTTTGGCGGTTCGGGACCAGCAGACCTGTGTGCTACTGCCATCTCTTGCCAAGTAAACGAGTGCCTAGATTTAAGAGCTATTGCGCACGGAAGCAACCATTGACTTTGCCTGGTGCTTGCCCTCCCTTCATTCATGATAATTTCAGAATATCGGTAGACTGGTGCGTCCACCCCACCGCAGGAATCCCACCGCCAGTGCAGCTCGAAGTGACACTCCAGGCACACGACGGTCCACCCCGCCCCACCGCAGTGATTGCATTGGAGAGGCAATTGCCTCACTTGATTTTGCTGCGGCACTTCGCCAGTTCCAAAAAGCATTCCGGAGGGATTCTTGAGTTCGGGGAACACCGCCAGCCATCGCTAGCCTGATTCAGCAAAACTAAGCTCACTAGTAGCGTTCTCACCGCCGAAAAGTACCAGGACCCGATAGAAGCAGCTCAACCAATTAGAGCAGGGTCCAAAGACCATGTAGAGAAGACCTGCTGAAGCTGCAATTGGGTTGCAGTCAGCCAGCTATGCTTCAAATGAGTGCAACCTAATTACTTGTGAACCTCTGTGGTTCAGGCAACCGAGGCGTATCATAAGGAGCTGCAATGGCAAAATGCGCATGAACATGCATGAACCATCTTTTATCGTCTGCTTCCCACTCACATCACACAGGCATCCTTCATCATCGTTCTACACCTTTCTGCTCAATGAATGGCACAAGCATAGGCAGAGTGGGTCAAAATTGAACAGTCCGAAGAACGCATCGGATATTGGATCGGACTTCTGCCACAGCGAGTTGCAGTACCATGTTCATGAAGTGGAAGGGCTGTAGAATCTGACCACTCCCCATACACTTCAAGCACTTCCTCGGATCGTTCACTTCCGACATGAATCGACCGACAATGGATCGGCTGCAGGAGCAAGAGCGAAACTGAGCCCCAATGGCTGCGCAGAATGGCGTCGCATTGAAGCTCCCAATGCTAAAACAATCTAGAACATAGCATCATGCAAAGTTTGGGCTAAATTTCGCTGTTCATTGCTGAAAGCCGTGTTGAAATCTAAGATGAGAAACTATAAAGACAAGCAACTGGGGATCCACCGCAATTTTTGCCCAGTGGCGTTTTGGAAGAAGAGCCAACCACCACGACCTTCCACTTGTGACCTCTTTGGGATTAGTAGTCGTGACCCCTTCAAGATCTGTTGGAAAACCCTCAGCCACTGGGATCTTAAAAGGTCTGGAAGAGATCACTATAAGAAGATTTAGACGCTGTAAGGTGAGTTCTGTAGACCTCCCAGGATCTCGAAAGGCCACTGGGAAGGTCCTCGCATGAACTCACTAGAGTCACTAGAGCACCGCTCCTGGACCAGCCTTGCTCTGCCGATGCTCGCCACCGTACTTCAGCACGAGCACAGGCCTTGTTGCTCGGCGGGGGGTAGCCTGAAACAACTCCAGCCTACGACCAAAGAATGGGTGACCCAAACTGGATCGAAACTGGTCAAAAACCGAAACTATTGCCCTTCCATCCGCAAGAGTTGATGGCCAAACATGCCGAACTCATGCTGAAACCAATCGTAGCCATGCTTAAGAGGCAAAACACACACACACACACTTCTCTAGCCATATCTGCGCCATTCACCCTTCAAAAAAACACATACATAACATGATCACTGACAACAAAAAACGACGCACAGAACACAGCCGCCTCGAGGGCCGCCTCGTTTGTAAGCACGCTGTCTGCCATGAGACCGACCTCGAAATCCGAGGACTGAACAAAGCCCACCCCAGCGAAGATGAGGCGATGGGGTGGAGATGAGGCTCGACAGGTTGAAGAGTTGCGACCTCTCAAACCAAACCAAACACCCAAAAGCCAGTTCACATCCTAGCCATATCCTCAACCTAACCAAAACCAACAAGCCAATCAGATTGATCTCTCCCAAACATAATGACAAGCTGGAACCAACCCACATCAACCCCGGGGCCCGTCGCGACTGTCAGCTCCCCTTGCCACGTCATATTGGGAGCAGTGGTACCCACTGTCACTTCCCAAAGAATCCATGGGACTGAACATTTATCCTTTGCCCTAGGGCTCCAGTCGTACCTCCTCAGGTTCGGTATGACTGGACCCTCTAAACCATTCTAAACCCACCCAAACACCTTAGAAGGTACGACTGGAGCCCCAGGGTTGCCCCATTGATGACCCTAATGTAAGTAACTATTCCAGTCCCATGGATGTCCTGGGCTTCATGGATGTTCTTCGGTGAAGAAAACCTCCAAAAACAGCAGCACATGTGCGCGGCACACCTCAGCTTTTTCATGCCCCACCCCAACGGGGCAGCTAAAGTGTTCACACACAACGGCCACAGGGAGTGCAAGCATTTCCTGTGCACTTCTCCCCTCGATTTTGCTAATTAGATGGACGAAAGGCATGGATCCTCCATCTCTTGATTGTGCCCCTTGTGCGGCATACCTCCCAATTGCATCTAAGCCCCTGGTGGGGCAACCACCAACTCCTGAAAATCACATCGGTTTGGTAGATCATGGTACATCCTCAGACCTAACACATGGCAGCCTCTTCAAAGTGACCTCTTTGGAGTGCCAGTGACCCTTTACAGGCCCTTTCGACCTCAAACAGGGATATCAAGTTCGGTCACTTTGAAGAACCAGGTGGGTGAATGTTTCTTCCGGTGGCTCCCACCCGTCGTGGGTTCTGAAAAACGCCACACCTATGCAGAAAGCCAAGCCAGGCCAGCCTATAAAACGCACCCGCAGTCCCTTCAGCCCGTCTACAGTGGTCCCTTCACTCTTTTCGGATTACATGAAGCTTACCATTCCATCATTTCCATCTATTTCCCGTGTGGGTCGGTGGCCGTTTTGGTACTTCACACTGGGTCTCGCCGGCGGCCTATGCCCCATGACCACTCCGGCTGTCCCACGTCCGTCCGGTGAAATCGAATCGTCCCCGACCCCCCAAAAAACATGGTGGGTGGCTTTAGAGTCTTAGAGGGTCCAGTCTGGACCTTCTAAGGAGTTACTTGGTGGAGGTGTTAGGAGCAATACCTGTACCATCCTGTATACCCACATGTGCAGCCGAATCGGCCTCCTGTCCTTCGCTGCGGAAGCTACGCCGCTAGCGGCCCAGGAGAGTCGAAGCTCCAAGCCCCAGGCTAGACTTAGGCTGCGGCTTGGCAGCCCCTTCTTCCAAACCATCCGGGGGCAAAAAGTGAAGCAAGAAGAACTGTACCAAAAGCACCCGTTCCAACTGTTCCGTGCGACGCGAAGAACGAGGTGTGGCCGGATCGGATCGGAACGAACGAGGCCACGCTCCGAGCGGAGCTCCGAGCCGCACGCTCCACGGAACTCCGCCCCAGCACCCCTCAGGTCACGCTGCGGCCTTGCGGCTTGGTGCAAGGCCGCCAGCACCGGACTAGTGCGGTGTGGGATGTCGGGACTCTTCATGACGTGTTGGGACCAGGAGACCGTTTGGATGCAATTCTCTTGGAGGCTTGGGTCTGTTTTGGCCGTTGTTGGTCATTTCCATCCACTTGTTTGCCTGCGGAGGACATGTGTCATCAAAAGGGCGGTGTAGCCACCCTTGGCCACAGAAAGCCCTGCCATGCCAAACAGCCCATGCCTTCTTTTTGCTCGCTCTGGAGTAGCTCCGGGCTGTAGTGGCGCCCCTCTCCTCACTCGTGAAACTTCAAGGAATTTGGAACCGATCTGAAATGGATTGAATCTCCAAACGCTCCATGGTGGCTCTCCATCAGCCATATTGGGCCACAACGTGCCACATCATGCCACTCATCTCTCGCCCCTGCCCCAGGCCTTTGC